CATACCTTGGCTGACACCGACATCAAAGTAAAAATAATTGTACAATTTTGTCATTCAACTACAAAATCATCCATTCCTTTATTCAACTAAACCATACCTTTACAATTACTGTAACGCTCCTCTATTTTAGCAGCACATCTAGAATGATGTAAAATAAATAAAACAGTTGTTTTAAAGTGTTTTTTTTAAGTCAACGGAAAAACTTTACTGTATAAAATATGAAAAATGAAAAGGGGAAAAAGAAACATTTTTTTTCTGGAACCGACATTTTGTTTTAGATTCATATTTAAAATGTACTTTTATTCTGTGGATTTACCTAAAAATGGTCACTGGACTTTTTGTTACACCAAAGAAGTAAAGTTTTTAAAATCAAAACAACAGTTCGGAGTACTAATAATAATTTATTGATCTCATACCAACGGCGGATCCAGGGGGAGGGGGTCAAGGGGGTCATGACCCCCCCTGAGCTGTTTGGTCAAGGGCTTGACAAAATATATTTACATATTTTGTCAAGCTCTCGACTTGACCACGATTGACCATGGATAAAAATAATAATACACATCTTAAAATTGCAATTTATAATAACTAAAATTGTTTTGAATTAATACAGTTTGTTTTTATACACTAATTGGTATAAAATGTCTTTAAATGATAGTGGCGCTTTTAACAACACGACAGTGCGAACTAAGGGGCGGTTACGGCAAATTGCGCATTTTTGGAGGCATAGAACAGGATTTCTACAAATATTTGATTCGTGATGTTTTAGTATGTATAACTTCAGTCCATTAACTAAAGGCTCGTGGAACAGAATCACGATTGGACAAACTTTTCTCGATAGATTTATTTTTGAAAATGTGCCTAATTCTGTAAAAATCACTATATATCTGCAATACAACAACGAAAGTTTATTTATATTATATTATATAAAGGTTTATTTGATACACGAGTACTTTATCTTCCGTTAACTCGAAGCTTTTTGCGATACATTGATTAGTTAATTTTTAATCGAATTTAATTAAAATGAGCTCCCAAAACCATTCGGATTTCGCGTCAGTCCGTCCGCGGGCGTCGTTGGAAGCGGATCTGCTGCGCTCGTTGCTCCGGCGAAACACCCTCCGCGTCCCGCATTTATGTGACCAGGTGAGTGACGGAAAGGGCGATAGCTCGCTCTCTTTTTTTCAAGCTCGAACGTAAAAACACTGATCTATATAAAATGGAACTTCCCACAATACAGAAAGCGCCAGGCGAATAGAATATAATTATTAATTTTTTTTAGTAAAAGTATATTTTTTTAATTATATCTATTTAATGAAATTTGTAATGAATTTTAAAATAAGATTTTTTATTATGAAATGGAGTACAGAAGTAAAATTTGCATGCATATCCCCTATAACGAATATGTATTAATAACTAATACTTGACAATAAAATAGTAAAAAGTGTCGAACACTTTGTTTTGTTTAGATATGTTGGCATAGTTAGACGTTTACCTTTTTTTTTTATAAAAGTAAATAATAAATGTGTATTTAACGTCACCTACATTAATGCTATAAACTAAATGTAAAAATCTAAATCGGAGTCTGGATGGCGCTTCGCGGCGTTCGATGTTAAGGACACGGCTGACGTAGACCGACGAGACTCGACTCACGCGATCTAACCGTGCGGTGCACCCCGCTCATTGTTTGCGCGCGCCTACTTCTTCCCCCCAAAAAACGAAAATTGTCCCTAACACAGCCCCTTAAATGAAAATCGGTTAAGCCGTTTCTGAGATTAGCGCCCACAAACACACAAAGTGACAAAACTTAAACTCCTTTGCAAATTAGCTAAACTTAAATATGTAAATTAATTAATTTGCGAGTATATTTTAGAAAAACATATGGTTTTCGAATAGATCGCTAAAAAGTTATTGTGCCCCGGGCGCGAGGTAAGCTCACTACGCCACTGATGTGACCCCCCCCCCGGCGCCAATGTTGGATCCGCTCTTGTCTCATACATTGTAAATGCTGAAGCCATATTTTCTTTTTTAGAAGCTGTGTATATAGTAGTAGTTACTGTACGCAAGGCTCTTGTGGCACCTTTTTAACATTGACGGGACGGCGCCTGTGAGCATTTAGGGTTACCAGCAAGGTAATATGTTAAAGGGAAATTCTTTCCTTTTGAAAACGAAAACGCAAATTGTAAAGGAACTTGTATCTTACAATGTAACTAGGAAATGCCCCAGACTTCGTTTGTCGGTTAGGATTCTATAGTTAAAGAACATTTGTAGCAAACTTTTAGCAATGCACTCCCTCGAGACAGTTAGGGAAGGAATAGTCTTAACATAATAAAAATTGGCTTACTTAGCGCTTATCTACAGAGTAATAGAAATCTAAATTATTGTTTGTTGTTTACAATTAAAGTTTAGTACAAACTATGTGGTATACCCAGTGGTTTGAACTGTGCGTTTTAAAATTACCAGACCATTAGTTTTTGATACGTTACTGACTACACACAGTAATTACCTTATTACGTAAGTGAATATGTAATTTATGTTAAGAAAGCCATACTTCCAGTTGCACAAAACACGTTATATTTAAGGGTTCGATCGCTACAATATGAAATAAGAAATAAAGAAAAACATTCAGCAAAAATTTTTAAGTCAATTAGTTTATAACAATTATTTTTTCAATTACAAATCTAAAAATATTCATCGCCTTAAGAGAGGGAATTTCTTGACTTAACAAATGGTAACAATTTCTGATTGCAGCAGACACAAGAAGATTCACATTTTCAAATGTAATTACTGAACCCCCCTACTCCTTCTCAGCAATAAATATATCTCCCATTTTAAAAAAAAATTCTCGGACGCACCAGTTTCTTCACTTTATCTCATGGAATAACATAAAAAAAAACACACAAAATGCGTAAAACAACGCGAAGTGAACTGACAAGTTATGTCACTATTAGCCTGACATTAAATGTCATTTGTTTCATAACATTGTCGGCTGCCAAAAGAAACTTGTATATCTATACGAGTTTAAATACATATAAAGATGATTTTAAATTCCACTTTTTGACGTTTAACGAAGAATCTGGCAGAAAAGTAACGGCAATCGGCCTCAGGCCGTACATAACGCAACGTTAGACTGCGGGCGGCGGGCGTGCGCATGCGCAGCTGCAGCGATGCTCCACATGCACGAGGCGCACGGCGGCCAGGAGGCGTGCGGCCGGCGCCGCCGCATCCCCCGCCGCAAGCCACAACGGCGCCAGCGCCTCGCGCAGTGCGCGCGCCGTCTGCGCCGCCAGCACCAGCGCCGGCCGTAGCAATGCGTTGAAGCACACCACGAGCGCCGGCTTGAGTGCGCCGTCCGACAACGCCTGCAACAGGCCTAGCGCAGCGTCGCGGCCCGCCGCCAGCGCCGCGCCCAGCGCCGGCGCCAGCAGCACGGCCGGCAGCGCACCCACCAGCCGTAACGCCGCCGCCGCCTCGCGCAGCAGCCGCTTCGCCGGCCGCACGCGCCGCCGTACCGCGCGCTCCAGACGCGTCGGCGCCGAGCCGCGCGCGCTCAGCCTCCACACGCCGCTTTCGAATTGATATATGTCGAGTCGCTCGGGACCTAGGGTTATACCATGGGGTTATGCATATTATTTAAACCGATTTCAACCCCCTGGTGTTGTTGAGGCCATACTTAAAGAGAGATATGCCCGGTGGTGGAGTACCGATAGTGGTAAACCGCAACCCCTAATGCAGGACTCGAGTAAGTAAACCGTTTATTGTTAGTTATTAACGAATATTTTTATTGGTAGACCTACCGCTTTATTAAATATTTTATTTAACTTGACAGAGAGATTTCCTGCGGTTTCACAGATTGAGCACAAAAGTTTCTTTTGAAATGCCCGGCATTTACACGGAATGTCTGAAATAGACGTGTACAATAGACTACCACAGATTCCTTGGTCGAAAATATGACGTTTTGAGCCAACTTACCTGTATCCGAAGTTGTTACGTTTGTGCGCTCGGGCTCGGGGGCTCTGAAGTGCTAATTATTTTACATTTATGCAAATATCTCGAATATCATTGAAATCAAAATTCTTATTAAATCCATTGTTTTTGTTTGTTAAACTGCACATTGTTGTGAAGCAAACATTTTTCATCACATCAACAAAGAGCTCTAACGTCAAAACAATTTCAATCGTATTTGTGTGACCGAAACCTTCACAATCATCAGGTTCAAGTTTATTATTGTGTCTAATACGTGGGGTGCAAATGCCCTCTTCACGGCTGTGCCTCGGGTTCGAATACAATGATAAACTATCTAAGTAATATCACATATGTATTCCATAACCAGTTGGTACCTTGAGCACAACTAGATTTTGATAAGAATTATTAATTTTATACCTTTAGATAATAATGTTTTTTACCAAAACTGCTCGCCAAATAAAAATTTAAGCAGAGACCAAAAAACTTACACTGTCTATCTGAGAAAAAAACTTGACAAGGCATCTGTGTTAGTCCATTGTATACGTATTTTCCGGACACCTATACTCGAATGTTAAATTATCTTTATGTCTTTGGAAATAGCTTACAATCTATAATCTTTTATTCATTTCCATGTTATCATACGAGTACATAACGGTGTAACGTAGGCGAAGCAAGCTTACCCTCAAAATGCAAATGTCCTCGGTCCGATTTAGTTATGTTATTCACTCTCTGCCACAGAGAAAATTTTCGTTTCTGTAAAATAGTTATACACACATAGAATATTATATTTTAATAGCTGTTGCCCACGGCTTCGTCCGCGTGAAGTTTAAAAGTTGCGTCCGAAGCCTAAGGTACTGATCCAAGATTCGAAATTTCTAAGCCCGGTAGTTTGTAACTTAATTTTTCGGTTCCTTATTGTTTGTATTCGCAATATCTTCTAAACTCGTCGTTCGACTTCTTTCTTCTCCGAAATGCAATCGGTTCCATGTAGTGTTTATAACCAGTAGGTATCATTGATCATAAAACCCCTCGTTTCAGGTTGTTACTATGGAAGCAAAAGCGACCTTGTTTTAGTCTTCCGTTCTTTTTTACAATTTAAACGAGAACTAAAATGAGCAACTGTGGTCGCTACTTCACGGCTTCTCGGAAAATAACTTGGCCATAATAAATTAATTTTTCCTCTGCTATTGACTATAGTGTTTGGCAACAATCGCAGCTCACGTTGCGTTTATTAAAGACCTACTTAGCTTAAACCTGAGTCCTCCCACGTCATACTAATACTAACACAAACTAACACAATGAACACAGAGGTCGCTAGCGCGCCGTGTTCAGCAGCAATTCAATTGTAAACATTTGTATTAAGCAAATGAACACTTTTAAAACTTCATAAATAGAGTTTGAATTCAATAATACTGGAGTACGGACGCGCAAGACGAAAATGTTTAGCAAAAGAATTAATTGCAAGAAAGAGACAAGTACAGTGTGGTACGATGAGCTAACGCTTGCGGATTGTGAACTGAACGAACTAGTAACAATGAATTAATTAAATTGCTACAAATGAACAAATACGGAAGATTATAATATTTTTAGTAAAAAGAACTAGTGTTATTTATATAAGATCTTATTGTTGGTTCTTTAAAATAATAAACGTGTTGCTCTGTAACAAAGAAACAACATTTATGTAATTTATCATCTTGTAATATTTTTTACTCATTATAATTATGACGCCATTCCTCTAAGATGGCTTCCAAAATCAATTACTCATAGACAATCGTTTAGAATCAGTTTTAAAATAAGAGAAATGTTAATTTATTTACATATATACTATACTAGTTTTCGACAGCGACTTCGTCCTCGTGGAATTAAAAAATGACAGCCTGGCATACATTTAATATAGAAAATGATTTTAAAAATTGATAATTAATGACATTTTTTTGCAAACTTAAGCATGACCGTCCTGCCCGTCCTTACCCTATGAATTTAGAAATGGTCAACTGATGGTACTGACTAGGGTAGGCAATGGCGCATCGCCCTCGCCGCTGGCGCCCGGTCCCCGTGATGCGTGCAGCGCGTGTTCGGCGTGTTCGGCGTGCTCAGCATGCTCGGCGTGCGCCGACCGCGCCAACGCGCTGTCGGTATCTTACCATTTAATGACGTAACAGTACAGCTATAAACTCTTCAGCCTGTAAAAGTTATTACCCAAAGACAGCAGTACGTTGTCTTTCGCTTAGTGTTTTTCTTTTTTCTGCATAAAACCTTTTTTACAGTGGAAAAAGTTATGCTATAGTGATAATACTGACGTAGAGAAATCATCCAGTTTGCTTGACAACAATGGCAAAAGTTCGTTGAGCAGACGGCCAACTTTAAGTGAAGGGGTGTTTAGAGAGAGAGTTAAAATTTTAAAGAAAGAAGGACCCCCGAAGGATCGGAAACCAGTCGGTGCCGTCACCGGAGGATAAAAGCGTGAGTTGAGCCGTTTTTAATTAATTTTCGCTTAACATTATATTCAATAAATTTTTGTTCATTTAGTAAGATAAGACATATTGAATTGATTTATAATATTGGCTAGCCAGCTAACTGCTAGTAAAAAAGACTAAAAATACGAGCGGTACATGGCTGTCACCGCGGGGTAGGACGGGAGCGCCTCTTGCGCCGAGCCGCGCGACACGCACGCGCACTGCACGTCGCACCGCGCGCACTTCCCGTTGCACCGCGCGCACTGCCCGTTGCACCGCGCGCACTGCGCGCACTGTACGTCGCACCGCGCGCACTAGACGTGGCGTTACACGTTTATGCATATTATCTTCGATAAAATATGGTGATCGAAGATATTACTGTGTTGGAATTTTATGTGGAATTGTCCATCGAACCATCGGTCCCATCAATCTTATAATGACCCAGGATTTAAGTGATACTAACAAAAGTGTAGTCTCTGTAGCCTGCAGCCTTTCGGACCTCATGTACATACCGACGTTAATAGCTTCTTATCCTTAAAAGTCGGGGAGCCGAGGGCGGTGTCCAACCTCGGCAGGCGCCCCTCCTGCCGCTGGCGTTGCTTCTGCACCAGAACCTGCAGGAGGCGGCATTATAAGGTAAGTCATAAGACATCGAATTGGTGGCATGTCCGGCTGAGGCAGACCTGGATGTAGGAGGCGGCGTCTTCGTGCGAGGGCGGGGAGCACAGCAAGTCCGGGGAATGCGGGGGTGAGGAGTCGCGCCGCCCGACACACCGTGCCCCGCCCCGTTCGCCGCCCGGCAGGCCGCGTCCGCTTGCTACAATCGGAAAGAGTTAGATAATTGCTTTCGTTGACTTATCATCCCTTATATCAAAACGTACTCCAACCTAAGTTAACGTTAAATATTTCGACTTCCTTGGCTTCCACTCCTCTGTTTGCGGTCGATGAAGTAACATTTGAGATGTGCTTTTTAGGAGATACCGTCATTAAAAAGTTTTGCTAGCTCTGTTAATTATAGATTACGTATCTATTACGGATTCGCAAAGTACAACAAAAGAAGTAGTAAGATCAATTCAATTAAATCTTAGTGACAGCGGTGACAGCCAGACAGCCTTCAAGATGTGACAGCCAAAGTTGAACCAAAGAGCATATAATGATGACCACTTCCGTTGGAAAAACTATTTATTTAAATCAATCAATCAAGCCTGAACAAACTTTACTGTTGTCTACATACCAAACTGCAATTGAATGAAGACATCGTCTTTTAATTCAATTATTATGATTGCACCTTTAGTTTTCAAAATAAAACTTTCTGCAATATAATAATATACGAGTATAGTGTCACATACATACATACATCATATGGCGCCCATCAACTACTCGTATGTCAATTTCAGTATGTTACAAAGTACTCTGTGTATGTCAACTAAAAAATGTTAATTGACTCTATCACCCTAAACATTTTGACACCGTTTGTCAGTTCAGTCCGCGTTATTACTTTATGCATTTTTTGTGCTTTCTTAATGTTATTCTATTAAACAAAAAACATGATAAAAGTCTTTAAAAGAAGTGTAAGAGAGGTTGTTTTGAAAGCGGGGATTTCTTTACTGCGGACAAGAAGCATTACGGTCCAGTAATTACATTTGAAAATATAAATCACCGTGTGTCTATTGCAAAAGGAATGTGTTACCATTTGTTCATTCAAGAAATTCCCTAACTTCCAAGGTGACGCATGAACGCTACGTTAAGTTTGGAAATAAAGATTAAAACTTTTAAATAGTAATTGGCTTAAAAATGTTTTTTTCTGATAGAAGTTGTTTTATTACCTATTCATTTCAAATCGCAGCGACCAAACCCTTATGTTGGTGTCGTTTCTGTCGCGCCTTAATAGATGGCGCTGTGGCGAGACCAAGCTAAACTAACACACGATGTTGAGTGTATTGTCTCGCCACATACATACTTCTCGGATCGCATACTCTTTGGTTTTTGGTTGATGTCTTTGAGTTCGTTGTTATTGTTATCGTTACGTTTTGTAGTAGTCTCTCATTGCGTTGGTCGAGTCGTTCAATTTTGAACAAGGTTTTGTCGGAAGTAAACACCTTATTTGTAACGTGTTTTATGCATGTAAGTAATAAGTACTACGTACAACGTTGTACGTAATACTTATTACTTCCATTGTTTTCTGCCATTGGAATCATTGCCTTTATATGACATTAAATAAAAGAGGATTTTAATTTTTACGTACATATTTACTTAAGTAATAAGGTAATTACTGCGTAAACTCATTAATATTACAAGAAACTGGCTGTCCGATGATTTAGATGAGTTATAAGGCACAGTTCGAACCTCTGGGCATACCACTTAGTTTGTACTGTGCTTTGTTTGTAAACATTTGTTTGCGCTTTATGTGCCGCACCCAACAGATGGCGCTGTAGCAAGACATTATTTTACGAGAACTGTATCCGATGTTTACACACATGTCTTGCTCATGTCTCGCCACACATATACCTCCAGCCGGTGACATATTTTTTTTTGGTTGTCATTGCGTTCGTTCTATTATAGTGTGTCTAAACAATTTAGATTAGTTTAACAATTCATTTCAAATTTAGTAGGGATGGCTTGTGTAAAATCAGTCATGAATCTTATCAATTTTCGATTTTTATTCTTATAGAAGTTGGAATCGACAGATTTTTTGTTATAACTAATGAAATAAAAAAAACACTGTTTTCTCAAAATAATAAAGACCAGAACAATTAGTGATAGGAAAAAAATGTTTATTACTACTACAGCCGTACGTAATCGAATTGGATTTCGCTATTATTTCTGTCATCGCTAAATTCTCTACACTATAATAAATACTAGAATTGTCCTCTAAATTAGAGATAAGAAAATAATAATTTCAGTTGAGTTTGATAATTATTTAAACCGAATATCGATAGCTCAAAATTGTTCGCTGCGTGTTTGTTCGTCACTACGATACCTGTCCATTAAATATGGCATTTGCCTTCATACAAATTGAATTCGATATTCATATGCGTCATTAATCAAACTAATCTATCTTATTTAGACAAACTATAGTATTGTCGTTACGTTGTAGGAATCGTTTGTTGCAGTTTTTTGCTTTGGTCGAGTCGTCCAATTTTTGGACAGTTACTACGTAGTCGTAGGAGGTAAACAACATTAACCATTAAGGGGCAAGGGGCGAGCACGGCAGAACAGAACTCTTTTCTTGAGGTGCTTAAGGACACTTTTGACGCCCTTGTCAAAAGTGCGCTTAAGCACTTAGACGCTCTGTCGCCCTTGACGTCGTTGTGAGTAAACATTGAAAGTTGAAATTTTAATCATCAATAAATTACAGAAATTATTGTATTACCAAAATGTACTATAATTGTATCTTGAAGTCTAGTAGTTTACAAATTATAGCTATATTACATTTGAATTCTTCACATTTTTACACAAATGCGTATTTAATCATAACATTAAGATACTTCCAATGGTGCTACAATTTTGTAGAATTTAGGCAGGTTTCTGTCTATAGATGTAGGAGAAAATGAAATATCTTGTAATTTGACAATTTTTTTTTTTGGAATCTTGCACCAGCAGATTTCTGTTATTATGTTGATTACAACTTAGTTAATACTTACTAAGAAAGAAGGTGTAATTAGGTGTTTTAGACCTCCTTTAAATTTATCCTGTAAAAATTGAAAAAAAAGGGCGAACGTAAGTTTTGAACTTTTAAACTTCACGCGGACAAAGTTGCAGTAGTATTTTATATTTATATTTATAGTGAGATATACACTTATACACAAATGAAAGATGTGTGATTTATCATACTAATGAACCTTAATTAGACAAACTATAATTTCTGTTTACACGATTAAAATTGTTTTTTTTTTTAAATAAGTATTAACTTGTGTACTTGTAAACTCTAAATTTTAACATCTCCCTGGTCTTATCCCATTATGAAGGGACAGAACACGGCGTTTTTCTATAAACCTTAACATTCTGGCTTTAGTTCTAAACACATTTGGCGTCAAAATGCTGTAGTAAAGATGAGGTGTGATGAGCTCTGCTTGCCGGAGGCACCGAGCTGCATTGCAGATGATTACCTTAATTTGATCAAAACGACTTGATAGGAAAGAAGGGAATACAATAAGAAAAATAATAATCCAATTCGATATCAGATGATTTATTTTATTAACAACTCAATAATCGCTAATGCAGTTCACATACGGGCTCGGATCCAAGCGTTGAAGGAGGTGACCCTGGCGAATCCTGCGGGCTGGTTCTGCTGGCAGCCGCGGATGGAGCCGAACGACGTCACACCGATCTGACAAACAAAGCACATGTATACAATTTTTAAAAGGTAAATTGTCTTGCGTTGAAATTCAATTGTATATGTATGTAATAACAATAAGTTCAATGAACTTAAAGTGGGGTCATTACATTTACCTTTATGAGACGATAAATTGAATGGAATAGAAACTAAAATTTGCCGATGCAATAGATTGTAGAAACCATTTAAGAAACTCTGGTGTGGTTACGTAGGAACAGTAAAGTAAAAGGGTAAAGACCACTTACGAGAGTGTTGCCGACGGCGAGCGGGCCGCCGGAGTCGCCGTTGCAGGTGCTGACACGGTTGGCGCCGCTGATGCAGAGCGTGGACGCGATGACGGTGGCGCTACCGTACGTCTGCCGGCACACGTTGTTGGTGATCACCTGCAGGCGCGCGTGAGACAGGAACTGGTTGTTGCCGATGTTTCCACCTGCCAACGTTCACAACCGTATTACTGTATTTTTCGCAAAATTGGGCGGCATTGTACGAGTAGGAGTTGCTGGTACGTCATGGGCCTTCAAGCAAAGAGCGTACTACTCCCTGAAAGGCCGCCAGCGCATCTGCAGTTCCCTTGGCATTGCGGGTGTACATGGGCGTTGGATCATTTAGGTGAATCGCAGCTCTTTTACCCACGTTTTCTATTAAAAATGGAGCATCACCACAACTAATGGAACGGGAAAGGCCCAAGCTTAAACCTAAACGCATCTAATGAATTCTTGTTACCGTCAGCGGTAAGACCAAAGCCTGCAGCCCAGGCCCAGGTGCCAGCGTAGTCGTTGGTGCCGGAGGCCAGGCCGATGTTGCGAATGTTGTCTGTAATTACAATACTTCATAAATTTTAAATACTAAATTTAAGTTAGAGTAGTCTCGGACGTGATATTTTATTTGAATTTTTACGGGAGCTGCCACGAAGTAATGTGTCTTTACGCTTTATTATATTGTAAGTATGGATAGAAAAGAAATAAGTATAAATATAGATAACTGAATAAATATAAAGTTGTCAGTGTTAGTTAATACTTGTACATCCATGTTTCTAGAAATCACTCACTATTGTAAGCGACGGAATTGATGACGATCATAGCGACGTCGTTGTTCAGGTTGTTCATGTTGTAGCTGCCGTGCATCTCTACGCGGTTCGTGGTGATGCGGGTGCCGCCAGAGAAGAGGCGAATGGAACCCAATACGACGACAAACTGTCGCGCCTGGGCGTTGCGCGTGCGCCAGCAGTGTGCCGCCGTCACCAGCCGCGTATTTGACACCAGTGAGGAGCCGCACACCGACGTGCGACCATCCGTCAACGTGATCACCAGCCCGCCCTGTTGTACACAAAGCGAGTCATATCATAGGTTAGTCGATGCGTTAACAAAATCTAAATATGAGAGACACTGCACTGCTATTTCATAGCTATGAGACATATGTGAACAAGGCTTTTTAGTTTTTCTTTTTTATTTAACTTAGGACACAATCGATTAAATGAAAGTAATAAGGGGGAAGAGGTTCTTGCTTGAAACTGACCATGTACGGGTAAGCCCCCAGAGCAGCCGCCGACCCGCCGACGATCCTGGTGCCGTCGAAGTCAGCAGCCAACTCCGCTTGCTTTAGGGCTTCGGCCTTCGGGACGCCCACATTGTTATGATAGTCGAGTTCGATAGGTTCCTCGGCCGCGGCCAGCGCCGCCAATGCGCACAGGACGATCGCGATCAGCTTCATAGTGGACTCGGCAGGTGTAATGATCCCGTCCACCTTCGACCTCATCTTTTATATTAATTTCAAACGATTATTGTAATTAATAATGATAACGTCGGATTATACCTACTCAAGTCATAGTTTGATAAGCGCAGTAGCGAAGCTGGTGGGAGGAGCAAAGGGGGGGGGGCATCTTGCTCCGGTGCCCCGGGCGCAATTCCAATGGGGCGCAAAATGGTCCGCAAAACAAAAAGAAATATAAGATATATTACAATAATCTCAGGAATACATATTTTAGATTACGTGCTAATACAAATATAATAAATGTTACTGTTTAGTATTTGTGTAAAATGCCATCTAGTGGCGTTATAGGCAAACATCTACTTTGGAAATAAAAAAGAACACTACGAATATAAACCAAACTTTATTAATACTGTATTTATAACTAGGTGCTGTCTGCAACTTCGTTCAGGGGGGGATTTAGCAGCAAACTAAGATGGCTGGAGCGTAGGGTGACAAATTTTCTCTCGTATAAATAAAATATAAGTAAGTTCCCAGGCCAGCATAAGGTGCTTGCGAAGGCGCTTTAAAATGTCTTTAAAACACGGCGTTACAAAAATTGTAGAGGTGGAAATAGGTATGGGAAAAGTAGTCAGTCACCCACGTCCTCCCACTTCAAAGTGCATCGCTTCATGTATACATAACTACGAGTATATGTAGATATCTATCAATCAAGTGACAACAACTGAATATACATAATATTGATATGAGATAACTAACTACTTCAATTCTGAGACCACTCAACGACACCGAGTGCGGCAGGAGGATGGAATAGAAATATTTTGCCGGAGACTTCGACCTCTCAGAAATTAAAAAAATCTTAATAAGTAGCCTATGTTTTTTTCCAAGCTATATCCTACATTTGTATGAAATTTCATGGTAATTAGTTTAGCCGTTCTTGACATAGTAAAAGACTTTATTTTTTCTTTAGTGACACGTCTTTACGGTCCTACTTTATAGTGATCAGAAGATTGCGTCAAAATCTGCAATCAATCTTCAAATCTAAAGAAAAATAATATCTAAAAACATCGATAACACTTCACTAGTATCGCTCCGTGTTCGTGATTACCGTAACAGAGATTAGTAAAGTAATTAATCAATGTCCAACTATACAAAATTCGAAACAAGATAAGTCGCTTTGTACTCAAAAGATTATGCATGATTTTGAACTAAAAATCATAATCGTATCTCCAAAGAGATTTGAAACACAATAATTGTTATTTCGGAGTTGTTGTCGACCGAGGTAATTATTTCCAGACTTCATCCGCATGAAATTATAAAAAACTTTTTTTTATTGTGTACATTTGTGAACAATTGCAAACTCAAAATTCAAATGCATTAACGCCAACGAAGGCCTTTGACACTAACCTATTTGATTACCTTTGACATAACTATTACCGTTACCATAGCAACCTTGCTTCCTTGATGTCAGCTTCATGTCTTGATGTCTTCAGCTCACAGAAGTACTATAGTAGTGTAGATGTACATGATTCTTTTGGCACCCGGCAATGAGAAGTGACATTTAATGTCAGGGTAATAGTGACATAGCTTTTCAGTTCACTTCGCGTCCTTACTTTACGCATTTTGTGTGCCTTTTTTTTAATGTTATTCCATGAAATAAAGTGATGAAAGTGTTTGAAAGTAATGCGAGAGAAGTTTTTTTTTAAGTGGGAGATATTTTTATCGCTGAGAAGATGTATGGGGGTCCAGTAATTACATTCGAAAATGTGAATCATCTTGTATCTGTTGCCATCAGAATTCGTTACCATTTGTTAATCAAAAAATTACCTAACTCTCAAGGCAACGCATATTTTTAGATTTGTAATTTAAAAAAAAATGTTATATACTAATTGACTTAAAAATGTTTTGCTGAAACTCGTTTCATTTCCTATTTCAAATTAAAGTGACGGACCCTATATTGTAAGGTGTTTTGTGCACCTGGAAGTACGGCCTTCTTTACATAAATTTCATATTTACTTACGTAATAAGGATATTACTGTGTGTACTCAGTACTAACGTATCAAAAACTAATTATCTGATAATTTTAAAATGCACAGTTTAAACCACACCACACAGTTGTTCTGTGCGTTGATTATAAACAACAATCATTAACATTTCTATTATTCTGTAGATGACTATTTCTATTATGTTAAGACTATTCCTCCTCTAACTGTCTCAAGAGAGTGCTTTGCTAAAAGTTTGCTAGAAAGATTCTTTAACTGTAGAGTCTTCTAACCGACAAACGAAGTCTGGGGCATTTCCTAGTTACATTGTAACGAACTTTACAATTTGTGTTTTTTTTTTCAAAAGAAAATAATTTTCCTTTAATGCGGATATATTACGTTGCTGGTAACCCTAAAGAGGCGCCATCCTGTCAATGTCAAAAAGGTGCCCCAAGTCTTGTGGCACTATACCATGGATGTTTTACTATAAAAAAAAAAAACTGAGAATTATTGAAACCGAACAAGACCTCAATAACTGTCCGTTTTATCCTTCTCTGCCGATGGTGACTATGTTCAAATATTATTTAAGGACGACAATTATGAAAAATCTTGTCTTTGTTGTCAGTTGATTATTGCTTTAGATGGATTTTAAAGTATTGGCGTTGTTAATGTAATTAAAATAAAACACAATACAAAAAACAGAATTCTAGATTAGACATTGCTAAATAAAAGTTGTGAAGTTTGTGAAGCAAACCTAGCTTATTAAGGAATATGGATGTAAGGACATCGTAAATTTTAAATTAAAACAAAGTTATTTTAATAGAGATAGGAAGAAAAAAATGCAAACGTGTTGGAGTTTTTATATGTTTGTATACTGGCAGGCAACACTGTACACACAGAGGATGGTTTTTAATATTAGAATAGTATATTTTAAATTTTAAAGAATTGTATATTTGATGTTTTATACATTGACTTCACATCTCGACACGTACCAAGTAACATAGTAGGACTTTGTATAAAATATGGTTTTTGATATTATAAATATAATGATGATTAACTAGATGAAGAAAGTGTTTCAATAGCCCCACACCTCCAGAGCCCCGGACGGAGAAAAGTAACCGTCCAACAAAACGTGTTTAAGTTATTTGATTTTGAACTAGAATTGGATATTCATTCATGGTCACCTTAATTCTTCACCAACAAATTATCTTTAAAACTATTACCTGTGAAAATATAATGCACAATCAGCATAACACTCGCTTCGGCAAACCTCCACGACACAAACTCTTCCCATATTAACTAAAATTCGTCAAATACAGCACGAAACAAAAAAAAAATACTCTGCCATTAATGTTGGAATCGGGATGTCATGTGGGAGTTTACCCCCCTTAGACAAAGTAACATTCCATTATCGCTATCGCTGATCGAAAAGTAAAAAATGTATGGAAGTGACAGTAACATTTGATAAGTCATGTGCTTGTCACGTATTCATTCCTATACGTTTTGACACATTTTGTCGATTCGACAAGCGACATCGCTAATCAAAAGTCACTTTGTCTAGTAGTAGTCTAGGTAGGTAGGTAGGTAGTTTTTTTTTTATTATCTTTATTTGAAACACATGCAACATTAAGACACAAATGGATAAACATGAACAAACAATAAAGCTAGTAGAAAACTAAATTAATTATAAATTATTAACGCAAGGCCCAGGCAGCAGAGTCCCGTAGCGATTGGATACTTGGGTGTAACCGCTGCCGGGCAAAGTGCTTATAAAGCTATAATAGAACTAAAATTATATTAAAAGTAGACAATGTTGACACAGATGATATAAAGAAACTTAAATAAAATACTTAACTAATTTTTTTTAATGCTATGCTATGCTATACAGTCTAAATCTACATCAACAATAAATAATAATAGTAAGTAGTGTAGAAGTCTGTGAGATAAATGTAAATAATGTGGTTATGACGAGTTCTGAGTAATGGGATTATTAAATAACTTTAAATTGTCTATAATGTATGTAATAAATTGGATGAAAGAATCTATTGCAGACTCTTTTTTCACGAGTTCTTCAAGATTGTATGGCGGAATCTTCATGTATCCGCAAAGGCGTTTATAGTCTACTCTTCGCTTAAGGAAACGAGGACAGTCTTCTATCAAATTTTGGAGTGTTTGTGCAGAGGTGTTATTACATGGGCAAATTTCGTCATCGGTGATTTTAAATCTATGGAGGTATGTATTATGGAACCCGTGCCCCGTGCGCTATGCGCTATGCTCTATACGTTATTTGCAAAACGCGATATGCGATTTTCTAGTTTCGACTTTCGAGTTTTCGATAAGCGATATGCGCTATGCGCTATGCGCTATGCGCTATGCGCTATGCACTATGCGCTATGCGCTATGCACTATGCGCTATGCGCTATTTGCATAACGCGATACGCGATTTTGAAGTTTCGACTTTCGAGTTTTCGATAAGCAATATGCGTTATGCGCTATGTGTTATGCGCTATGCACTATGCACTATGCGCTATGTGCATAACGCGATATGCGATTTTCGATTTTCGAGTTTCGAGTTTTCAATAAGCGTTACGCGTTATGCGCTATGCGCTATGCGTTATGCGCTATGCGCTATGCGCTACATGCATAACGCGATATGCAATTTTCGATTTTCGAGTTTTCGATAAGCGATACGCGTTATGCGCTATGCGCTAAGCACGTAGCGCTATGCGCTATGCGCTATGTGCATGACGCGATATGCGATTTTCG